GGTCGACATGCCTGGCTGCTAGGTCGCTAGGCTCTGATGTAGTCATTCTTTCCAGTGCTTGTTCAATCGTTTTGTAATACAACTTTCCCTAGTGAAACTCTTGCCAATTCTCCTTGTGAATGCGCAAGCAGTAAGAACGCTAAGGAACGTTACGATCACTCTAGGACCCATGCCCTCCCGTAGTCTAGCTCCCACCGTTGTAGAGTGGCTCTCCGCACTAAGTAGGTGCAGGTTGATGGTTGCACCGTCTGGCACATTGTGTAGGCGCCAAGTAGAAAACGTGTCATCGGTTTTGTTAACAAGAATGGAGTGTTGGCCCCGCCCTCGCTTGGGCGACGCGGACTTCCTGGTCGGATGCACGGGAGAAGCAGCCGACCGTACGTAGTGGTCGACGGGATTCGTCGAGCTGCAGAGGACCGCTACGGCGATGCCGTCGACGGGGAGCCAACGGCCTAATTCTGCGGGGTAGGTCTACGAAATGGTCGTCGACCTGCATAGGATAGTCGCGGAGCTGGAGTCGTCAACGAGGGGAGCTCGACGGCTGCAGCTAACCGAGTTGGTCGACGGACGGGCCATCGACTAGGAGGGGTCTTCGACGGGCGCGGTGGTCGACGGGGGAGGTCGTCGACCAGGGCGCGCGCTGGGTGGTCGACGAGGTCGACCAGATAACCTGCTCAGCGAGGTCCTGTGGAGGCACGCGAGCGTCGTCGAGGCTGCGATGACGAAGGCGACTTTGGGCTGGCATCCCGAAGTCAATGTGGCTGATCAGGCGCAGACAACAGCCAACGGGCACGTGACAGTGCATATCGGGCCAATCGTCTGCGAGCATCTGCGAGCGTGCGCGCTGCTGTCATCTACGAGTGCAACGCTGGACGGCCGCTTTGTTGCAGCGTTGGCACGCCGTCGACCTGCAGTGTTGGCAGGTCGCCTTTCTGAAGCCCTGCGCGGCTCCTCTACGCAACACTGATAGGCGGTCGACCATGTTGTGCTGGCGGTCGACCTGCCTGGCTGCTAGGTTGCTAGGCTCTGATGTAGTCATTCTTGCCATTGCTTGCTTATTCATTCTATAATGCAACTTTGCTAGTAAAACTCTTGCCAATTTTTCCAGTGAATGTGGAAGCGTTTAGGAACTCACGCAAAGCTACGATCACTCCTATAACTCGTGCCAACTCGTAGTCTAGCTCCCACCATCGTTGTTGAGTGCATCTCCACAGGTTTCGCCAGATGTCTACTGTCGAGCACGTGACGCCGTTCCGCGGGTCGACTTTCACCAAAACCTCCTGGGTGAAAATCGCACACCTCTGAGTTTCGTAGTCGCGCGAATTTGGCCGACCAGTTCACCGAGAAGAGGCTCGCCGAACAGCACCCCTCGATAAGAGGACGAGGCTCCTTGAGAACCATCGCGTCCATCAGATTTCGCGCGACTCACCAGACGATCAGAGGGCAAGCTCGTCCAACGACACCCCGTCGATCAGAGCTCGTCGACGTGCTAGCCGACCAGAGGACGGCCTCGTCGAAAACCACCCCGTCGATCAGAGGAGGGGCTGGTCGACGACCTCTGTCGTCTAAACCCAAGAGCCAATTCGTCGACCATTTTGTCGAATTCACTTCGACAATGTTGACGATCACTTCAGAGACTCCCTTAGAGATCCGCTGGATGTCAAGAAAGTCAACTGAAGTCGACGACGGAAATGGAAGTTCAAGTGCAAATTTCAGCACTAGTGTTACAGAGGGAAATTATCGTCGGTGTTATACATCACATTTCACGAACATCACAACCTAGCACTCTGCAAATGCATTGTTTGGGGATCTTTTTGCAAGCCTGTTAGTCTTTGTCGTTAGTGAACGTCCATGCCCCTTGCTCAGAACACCGTGGATAAATACACTCCCCTTCCCCGCACGCACTGTCTATCGTCATCCTTTTGGATGACTATGGATGTAAATGTTGGTGCATTGGGGCACCTGAAGAAGTTACATGAGTCGTCGACATCATATATCAGACACTCCCTAAGAACGGTTCCGTTTTGTGGCGAAGGCTGTCTGAGTCCCTAGAGCAAATACTCGGAGTTATAAGCAGCTCGAATACTTGCGCTGATTTGCGAGGGCAGAGCAAATTCAAAACCTGAAATCCAGGCTTTTTAGGAAAGTGTATTTAACCATAATGTAACTAAGAAAAACCCCTGAAGAACAAGAGCTATCTGACTCTAAGTTTCGACAGAACTTTTAGTCGATTCTGATTGGCCCGAATTGAGATAAGCAACTCGACGTGCTCATCTTTTATTGGGGTTAAAAATTCCCTGAATCAGTCAACATCATGTTTCAACGCTAGTCCTTGTCAGCACAAAGTCCTCAGTTCGTCAATCTGTTCCTGCATTTCGAAGCCCAGTCAGCACAACAAATTCGCGCCTAGTGTGTGAAATTATTGGGAACTTTTTGTGCCCGGATAATTTCACACCCTCCCAGGCAAATTTTTGCGCGGTTCAGGATTCGGGGGTGTGAAATTAGCGAGAACAGGATGTAGCAACCAAGGGAAGAACGCTATCCGATCGAACCCCAATCCAAACCAGCACTGTGCCAACGTGGTCGGCTGTTGCGACTCCAGCGCAGCAAAGGAAAGATTCATCCGCATGTCACACTCCACTTTATGTAACGTGTTGTACTATTGTACACCTGATGCATATTGTTGTCCTCTTTTCCATCTTTCCCTGTGCTTCTCTCTCAAGCACGCGTCAGCTAGGTGCTGAATGGGACTGAATGCAGAAAAAATGTTACCAACTCGTGTTCAGTAGCCATAATTGTGGGTAGCCCAACTTATTCGAGGTCAAGAACATCTTGCTTGTGTCGTGGGCTAGTAGCGTTTGGCCCGTTGGCTGTGAATGTCGACCACTGGGCGTATGGAGTGGTATCGAAATTGTTCAGAGTGGGCAATTGAGTGAGCATGAGGGTGTACTTTATTTTCGACTGCTTTGGGATTGTTCAGTTGGTTTGGTTTGTGGCAATCGTCATGACAGCTTCGATTCCTTCAAATCGCTCCCCACGTCCCTCCCTTTCTCCCAGAGCCTTCCTCCCGCTAAGCTTCCTGATAAGGCCGTAATTAATTTTCTTGTTTCTCACTACATCCATCGTCCTACCATTAGCTTTGGAAGCACCCGTTGTTCTTTACGAGTTATTTACCCACGGAACTTTCTGGTCCGAAGGCTATATGAAACAATCGCATTGATCATCCTAGGAGGGCCAAGCAGAGCAAGGTCATAGCATCGCCCGTTCCTCTCCTCATCTCTCCTCGCTGGATACCCGAGGTCGGGTCGGGTATTCCCGTTAAAGATTATAATCTGTATTGCATTATAGGTTATTCCTAAGCTGTTTTTGGCATTACATTTGTAAACTGAGCAGAGTTTTGATCTATCAAACTTGTAACCCTGTGCATAGTGCGTCGGGTTAGTGTAAACCCGAGCCGAATACAGGTAAGTGGCACGAAAACGTTCGGGTATACCCGAGCCGACGGGTATAAAAAACCCGAGCCTAAATACACGGGTCGGGTAGCGGGTATTTGATACCCGACCCGAGTATTCACTACCCGACCCGACCGTATATTCCAATCAGAAATAAATACCAGACCCGTCAAAAAGGTCGGGTCGGGTCGGGTTACCCGACCCGTTCGGGTCAAATGCCCAAGCCTACAAAAACGCAATCGATTACTGCATAAATTTCTTCCTTTGTTGTGCTGCATCAGCTCTTACAGAGTGGTTTGAGTGACGGTTTTGCACACAATGCATAGGGTTACCATACTATTTGGCATGTCTATGATGTTGGCCCATCATCCCACCCAACCTGCAGACCCCAGCGCCACCGAATAGGGTACTGTACTAGCATGGTTGACTGTGGCGACTCCAGCACAGACGATTCACCCTCGGCCTAGGTGTGCTGGTTGGTTTGTTGTTTGCAGGTTTGTCTTGTCTTGTCGCTTGGTTGGTTTGGTGGTGTTTGAGCTGGTTCGGTTGGGCTGTCTTGTCGGTAACTCGTGATCAGAGTGGTTCCCCTCGGTTCGGATCAGGCCTTTCTTTGTTCCCCCTTACCCCTCGTTTCAGTGCAGTTAGGCCGTGTTACATTTTTCGAAATCGCTGAAAGTCCGGACGGTTGTCCGGACGCGTACGAATATTGCGACGTCGCGCGGTCGTGTTGCGACCAATGCGAGGTCGTGGTAAGCAAAACGAAGCATGCGACGTCGTTTAGACCCTGACGAACTTACTGCTGATATTGAACGAGTTTCGTAACTACATAGTCGTTCGGACGGTTTGCCGTCCGGACAAAATAAAAATAATAAATGTAACACGCCAAACCGACGAAACATCTGAGGCATCTGAAGCAGGGAAAGCTAGAAGTACATGCCGCAAGAATTCCGCGAATGTGCACGTTTCCTGATCGACCTTCCCCGATTGAATCCATCTGCTTCCTCAGGGTGGAGGAGCACTTCTGATCTGATGCACAGCAGTAATGCCAGGAACCAAAAAGGCTTACCTCGCAGCTGGAGGCCCAGTCGAGCCGCCCATCCGTCGCCACAGGCCCAGTCGAACATTTCCCGACCAGCAGCTCAATTTCAGGTGAAGAAAACAGATGGTAGATTTGTGAGCAAGGGAGGTTCCTAAAAACGTATGGTCCCGCTAGTGATCGTAGATTCCGCCTTGAGGCCGTTTCTGGCGCTTTCACTTTAACGAGAAACCTGTTTGAGCGTAGTCGGAGAGGGCGTTCGCGTTTTTCACCTAGCAGGAACCTATCGTCTGCACCAAATGGGTGTTTTGACAATGAAGTCGGGAAACGGAAAATTCGCGGTTGTGCTTCTGCTACTTTTGGCTGTTCATGCATCGTCGGCTCCGCTTGAGCAAGCCGCGCCTGTCCAAACTCTGTCGCAGTATGAGATCTTTATGCAAAAGACCTTGGAAGTTCCGGAAGACCAGAGGCGGCAGCACGCGGAGCGCATTCTGAGAGCGGAACGCAGCGAAATGGGAGGCAGCGGCCAGCGCAAGGGGCGCGTTCTGCTAGACACAGGAGTGAGGCTCGGGCTGTCCGCGCCGCCGCTCAGCTCGGGGCCGAGCATGGCGGCGGTGAACATGTCGTTCTACCGCTGGGAGAGCGTCACGCCGCCTCCCGTCGTCGACTGGCGCAACTCCGTGGCCATCACGCCCATCCAGACGCAATATGTGGTGCGTACTGGACCCGAGTCCGACTCGTCTGGTTACGCCACTGCTAGTTTGTCTGTTCAGCGGCCCCGTCTGCTCCAGGATAGGCACTCGGCTCGCGTCTTGAATCAACCAGGTGTGTTACTTCGTTAGTCCAGGCTCGAGTCGTCGCGGTATGAAAATTTGGCTTAGACCTTGTCCAAGCCCGCCGCTTCGTTTCCTCACACCCCTCCGCAGTGCTCAAGCTGCTGGGCGATCGCGGCCGTCGATTCCATCGCCATAATGTGGGCGATTGCCAACAACGGCGTCGGGACGAATCTGTCGCCGCAGCAGGTGTGCGACTGCGCGACGAAGCAGTGCTGCCAGGGCGGGTGGCCCGAGTGGGCCTTCTCCTACGTGCTCTTCAACGGCGGCATCACGTCCAACGCCAGCTATCCCTACCTCGCCTACGATTCCGCCACGTGTCTGCTCGACACATCCGTGCCGTCCGTGGCGCAGATCACGGGGTGGGAGCTGGTGCCGGCATTCAACGCCATGGCGCTCATGAAGGCCGTCAGCATGCAGCCCGTCGTCGCCTTCATCAGCGCCTCCGCCGCCGACTTCACCGTACGCCCCTCCACCCTGCGCGCTGCGCCCTGCGTCCCCCTCCCGCTGCCCACGCTTTGCCGCTCACACAGTTCGTTTCCCCGCTTCTCGCACGGTTAACCGATTCTTCGTTTCTCGCGCACACCGTTTCTCCGTTTTCCGGCGCGTCTCCTTTCTCACCGTTTCCCCATTGCCCGCACTTCCTTGCGTTTCCCAGCTCACGCTGCTTCCCGATTTCCCACGTGTCTTTGCTCACGTGATTGCATCCCAGCGATTTCCCCGCTCACACCGTTTCCCGACTCCCCGCGTTTCCCAGCTCACACAGTTTCGCGACTCCCCGCGATATCCAGCTCACAGTTTCGCGACTCCCCGCGGTTCCCCGTGCCTATGGACGTGCAGGCGTATGCAAGCCGCGACGAGCTCAACATTTACAACGGGCTGTGCACGACGGACGTGAACCACGCGGTGGTGGTGGTGGGCTTTAACTACACGGGGCCGGACCTCATAGGCAGCTACTGGATCATCAAGAACTCGTGGCTGCCCACGTGGGGCGACCGCGGCTACATGTACCTCGCCATGACGCCCGACGTGCGCGGGAAATGCGGCATCTTATTGTACGTCCCAGAACTCGCTCCCCGTCTCCCAGTCTCCACGTCTCCACGCCTCCCCGCCGACATGCCACCATCGCACCTAAGAGGCTCCCGCTGCGTTGCGTTCCGACGCGCCTAAGAGCCTCCTGTTGCGTTTGCGTTTGGGTTGCGTTTGCGTCACCTAGGAGGGCGCCTAGGAGGCACTACTTGCATTGCGTTAGGCACCTCTTGCTTTGCGTTCTGTCGCGACTAGGAGGCTCCCAGATCCTGCAGTTCCTTCCCCGCCTGTCAGCTTGCCAAGTCATGTCCCACTAATCCACCAATGGTCCTTCTCACACCATCCCTTTTTTTCCGCGCAGAACCCCCGCCATGTACCCCGTTTACTTCCCATCCGGGATGCAGCCGGCGCGCTTTGCGTCCGACAAGCGCGGCAAGTGGAAAATCGACAAGGAGGACGACCTCTCGTCGTCGCTCTTCTCATCCACCCTCTCGCTTTCAACCTCCACCACAACGACAACTACGACGACCACCACCACCACGACTACTTCATCAACTGACTTCGCCATCGCAGCTATTACGGATCCCACGACCTCCGACTCTTCCTCGTTGCTCACTGGTTCAACCACTGATTCGTCTGCGGTCAAGACGACAACGTCGAGTGCGACGTGCGCGGAGATGATCAACCCGTGCGGCGGGGGCAGTTGCTACATGAGCGGCGGAGTTCCGCGGTGCAACTGCGGCGCGCTGACGAATATGGTTGAGATGCTGGGAGTGCCCACGTCCAAGTGCGTGCCGCGAAGTCCCTGCACGACGGCTCCGGTTAATCCCTGCGGCGGAGGAACGTGCACGGATGTGGGCGACGGGACGTACACGTGCTTGTGCACTGCGGGTTACGCCATCGGCGCTGCTGTCGACGGTTCGCCAACGTGCATGCCTATTGCTGGACTCGCGAAATCTTATGTTACCACGCCTGGCGACGACTGCACGTTTGTCGCAACAGCTTTCGGCATTTCGACCACCACACTGACAAACCTGAACACTTTCATTAACTGCTCCGTTACAGAATACCTCCCTCCCGGAATCTCACTTACAGTCTCTGCCGCACTTACTTCCTTATCCTCATATTGCACCGCCACATACACCATCCGATCTTCCGACACTTGCACTTCTGTAGCAAACACTTTCTTCAACGGTTCACTCACTTCCCTTATGGCAAGCAACCCTGGCTTATCGTGCAAGCGCTTGTTCAAGTCGGAGCAAATCTGCCTTCAGATGGTTACCGCATCGGCAACATCGTCGGCTGCGCAGTGTGGTCAAAGCGTCGCCGTGGTCATGGGAGAGACTTGCGCATCGGTTGCCATTAAATTTTCTGTTGACAGCACAACATTTACCTCGTGAGTTCTTCAAAGTCCTCCCACTGTTGGCCTCCAGTTTCCTCTTCTCTCCTTGTCCTACTCACCACTATTTCCCATCCATAATTCCCTCAAACCCCTCAGTTCACTGTACTGCGTTAGAGTCTCTTGCTGCCCGCTCAGTCCAGAATCTCCTGCTGGATTCCCGCTCTTGGCTCCTGTGCAGGCTCAACCCAGGCGTCAACTGCAACAGCAATCTTCCCGTGGGCTCCTTCGTCTGTGTGGCGCCAAAATCGACTACGGTAAGCACGAACACCTTTTCAGGTTGATAGAGTTTCTCCTGCCATTTAAACCCCGACTTCTTGTCTCCATGTTTCAGTAGACTCCGTATGCAACTAAGTCTCCCCTCTCCTGTCCCACCCTCCCTCCTGCCTTCCCCTACCCCTTCACAATCTCTCTCTGCCTGTCCGTAGACAACCATCAACTGCACGGGGTGGTACCGGGTGATGCAGGGCGACACATGCCCCTCCATCTGGAATGCAGCCAACCTCACCATGTCCATGTTCCTCTCCATCAACCCCGGCATTCAGGTAGCTTGCCCATACCATCCCATACCGGCCCATACCACCCTATAGATCCCCACCATGTCCATGTTCCTCTCCTTCAACCCAGGTATCCTGGTAACTTCCTCGAAGCTTCCCTTGCCACCCTTCATACGCACCCATGCCTCTCCATCTACCCCCCCCCCCCCCCCCCCCCCCCCCCCCCCCCCCCCCCCCCCCCCCCCCCCCCCCCCCTCCCCCAACTCCCCCCCCCTTTTCCCAGCCCTCTCCCCCACCCTGCACTGCCAGGGCCCTTTTACTTTCTGCCACTGCCAGCCTCTGCACCTCTCTCTGCCTTGCCATTCCCTCCCTCCATTTGCACTGCCTCCTTACCTCCCACTTCCTTGCCGTTCTTCCCTTCTTCTCCCTCCCCCCCATGCAGTGCCAGGCGCCCTACCTGGTGGTGGGCCAGCAGGTCTGCATCGACTCACCCCTCCTCACCACCATGCAGCGAAACCCAAACGCCAACTACTCCATCTACACCGTCCGTGCCGGCGACACCCTCTCCACCATCTCCACACAGTACCTTCGTCGCTGCACGCCTCTCTCCGTATCCCCCGCGTCCATCGCCGCTCAGAACTTCATTGCCAACCTCTCTGCACCGCTCACCATCGGCATGAACATCATCATCCCCTGTATTGGCGGCATCGGTATGATTGACGGCGGCTGTGCGACGTCGCTCTCCGTGTGTGGAGCGGATTTTGTCACGTACCCGTCATACTGTCACGCAACGGTCAACTATGCCCTCCCCATTATCCAGAATGGCCCGTGCGACGCCTGTGCGAGTTCCTGCACTGGCCGCATGGGTCTGGCCCCTTCGTCCGGTTCCCCCTGCACCCAAGCCATCTGCCCGTACCCAACCTGGTTTTCAGGAACAGAGTGCACGTTAGCAGACGTCAACACTACTACAGGACCTTGCTGTGCGTACCGAAGAATTCAATGCGACAAACAGTGCAACCTAACAGCAGAGACTGCAGGCGGCGATGCCACGAAGAAAACGGCAACCTACAATGCGTGCATGGGCAATTGCATGTGCTGCGGTATGTTCCCGTGCGGAGGGTCATGGACGTGCAGCACGTGGAACAACGCCTGCTATAAGGCCACACCACGCTCTTGCACGTACAACATTGCAACTGGGTACACGTTCATATGCAGCTACTACCCTGGTGCAGTTCCCTTGCCTTAAGGTGCTGCCAGTAAGGGCTGCCTGTGGGAGCTGCCGCCTCTACTTCCGTTGCAGCTTGCCTGGCTGTTGGAATACTCGTGCTTGGGGCTAGTGTGCATGGGGTGCCTAAACCCAAACTGAAGGCAGTTGGCTTTCGCCTCAGTTCACAGAGAGGCTGCTGTTTTGCTGATTTTGTGTTCACACAACCTCTCATTCTTTTATTCCTTACACTATTGGTGATTTCCCATTGCAATTCTTTTACTGGTTTCGTTCTTCATGAACCACGCATGGGTCAATGGTGCCCATGTCATAGCCAGTTCCCTAGATATCAGACTTTTTAGTCTGATTCAGAGTCCGTTCAAACCTTTTTTTTTTGGTACCTAGTCAGAAGTCTAAGAATTTTTTTATGTACCTTGTCTGATTTTTCAGAGTTTTTTTTTTATGAGTTGTCTGAGATTTCAGCCTAATTTTATTAGTGTAGGCTGAGCCTCAGACTTATCGGAGCGAAGTTTCTTGGATGTTTCCTTTCCATATGCGCTCTTCCGAGATGGCAGTGGAGTGCCAGGACGTGAGCAACGCACACTTCAAAAGTTGGGAGATCTGAATACACTCGTTCGTCGAGAATATCTCCCAGTTACGCAAAGAAAATGGTTGCGTGATTACGAGATTTCTAAGACAAAATCTTGTCACATGTAGTTTATCGCTAATATATTGTAAAGAACAGGCGACTTTGATGCCGATTCGTTGTAAAAACATCTGCAGCACGCACTGCTGTGAAATTGCGAAGCTCCTACCGTATTCTCCCGAACAAAACACCCCCCCATGATAGAGCACCCCTGGGAGCTTGTGCGGGGTGGGTGCTATGGGCGACCTCGTTTCTACTATACCCCCCTTTTTGGCTGAGTTTCTATAACACCCTCCTTTTCTTACGGATTCATTATTATAGACGTTACCGAGTAGCTGCAATACGGAAGAATATCGCGAGAATTTTCTCCCTTGATGAAATTTCGCGGTATTTTCACTTACAATCTGCCGAGACCCCTCCCACTATTTCCCCCTGCCACGTGCTGGTCAATCTTCCACTGCATGTGGCCAGAAAGGTGCCACATGGCATTTTCCTGGAGCTGATGAAGTTCGCGGCCGAAACTCACATTCGCGCCTCAGACAGTGATGTTAAAAGGACGATCAAAACATCCACTTTGTCTAATTAAAAAAAACACTTACACTAAAATATGCCATATGTATGGACCCGGGTATTATGTAGCTTTTTCCTATGAGAAGACACCCCCCTTTTTTTCCCTGTATTTTTACATATACCCTAGGGTGTTATGTCCGGGAGAATACGGGTAATTCGTTGTGAAAGTTTCGTGTGGCACTGCCAAATGCTCACATGCCACGCCAAGCAACAGTTTCTGCCTGCTGCCAGCTCAGCTGCGTGGCACTTGGCCCACCTGAGTGGTACGTGACAACAACCTTATCGGGTGAACGATTGCATCGCTAGAAACGCAAAACCAAAATTGACAAAATCGGCACACAGGCGCACGAGAAAATGTGTACAGAACGGTAATCACACACACGACGAAACGAAATGCGATCAGCATAAACAACCATGCGGTGCACGTGACAAAAACACCGGAACGCCACCGACATGAGCTGGTAGGCTGTAATCAGCTTCAATGCTATTATAACTGTGCTTTTACGAAACTGCATGATCACCTTAAAAATTGAAGGTAACTCTGACAGGGATCGGCCCAGGGTTGTTCGCAGGTGATGTTGCAGCAGAAGTGTTGACCTCAGGTCAGAGTGAATGTAAAATGACTGAGATGATAATAACATGCATACATTGTGTTTATATAAGAAATACAAAGAATACGAAGAGTCCTAGACTAGCCATGTACTCAAGGGGTATATTCCCTTATTGCAGCCGAGTTCAAACCGTGCAGCGCGGGAACCTGTTTAAAACCTGTTCCCGCTCTTTTCATTTCAAACGTTAACTTCTTGCATCGGTCTTGATCTGACAGTTGCTGGCGTCGCTTCGACTCTTCGAACGCCTCGACTTCGTACTCGGTAGAGTCGGCTCCTGCAGCATACATGAATGCCTTCTCATTGAATTTCATATCGTAACACTCCCCTTCATTCCTAGGCGCGCAAAGGGCTGACTCCCTTGACTACTCCAGTGAGGTCGGAGCAGTGTTTGTACTGCTGACGTGGCAGTCGCTTGGTGAGGAAGTCGGCTGCCATCTCAGTAGTGGGGCAATATGCGAGGTCAACCTTGCCCTGGTCAATTTCGTCTTTGACGAAGAAGTATCGGAGTGCAATGTGCTTCGTGCGGTTCACGAACCCCGGCTTGTTCGCGATCTTTATGGTGCTCTGGTTGTCGGAGTGAAGGCGAAAGGTGGGCGAAGTTGGATTTTTTGCTTCCTGCAGCAGCTCCTGCAGGTACAGACCTTCGCGAACTGCTGCTGTCGCGGCGATGTATTCTGCTTCAGCCGATGACAGGGCAACCAGTTCCTGCTTTTGTAAGCTCCAGGAGATTGGTCCAGTTGGCTCCAAGTGGAAGACGAAGTCGGTTCGCGACCGTCGATTCGCAGGGTTAGCGACATGATTTGCGTCCACGTAGCCGTAGGAGAGCCCGATGTCAGGTGTGGAGATGAAGTACTGCAGGGCGCGCTCCAGGTCCAGCTGGTTCTCGGCTACTGGCTTGCGGGAGTACTGTGCCAGTTGGCTGGCGATGTACGAAAGGTCGGGTCGGCATGTGACAGAGGCGAACAGCAGGCACCAGTTCCTGCTGGTACAGTTGGAGTCCTACGGGCGACAGAGGTTTGTTGTCCGGTTTGTAGTTGGCGCTGGGGTTGCGGTAAGGAGTGGAGAGTGGTGCGAGTGAAATGTTGAAACGTTCCCCCTGTTGCTCTGCGTACTTGGAGGCTGACAGGTGAATTGCTTCTGGCGCGTAGGTGATGTTCAGGCCCAAAAACTGAGTGACGTTGTGGTTGACGGTGATGACAACGCGCTGCGCCAAGTTCTCCTCGAACTGGTTTATGAGTTTGTTGCAGGTACCGGTGTAAAGCAGGTCGTCGACGGAGACGGTCAGGAGTATGTAATCACCGTTGAAGTGGAGGCGGTACATTCCCGGGTCGTGCAGCCGCTGCCTGAAGCCGATTTCCAGGAGGATTTTGTGCAGGTGCTGCTGCCAGAGACGCGGCGCATGTTTTATCCAATAGAGGGATTTCTTCAGCTGACAGACCCTGGGGTCTCCTTCCCCGTAGGTGTGTGGCTGTTCCACGAAGATGGTTGCATCCACCAGCGCGTACAAAAACGCGTTCTTGACGTCGATCTGCCGTAGTGGTAGGTGCTTGGCGGCGGCAATGGCGAGTAGAATCCTGATGGAGGTATGACGACTGACGGGAGCGAAGGTTAGATCGAAATCAATGACGTGGCGCTGGTCGTACCCGCGTACAACCCAACGTGCTTTGAAGCGCTCGATGGTACCATCAGCGTTGGTTTTTAGGCGAAAAAAAACCCATTTTATGCTTAGCACCCTCCTCCCCTTCACTGCTGCACGATCGACTAGGACCCAGGTATCACGTGATTCCAGCGCCTTTAGCTCTGCGTCCATAGCAGCACGCGTTTCCTTAGCGTGAGGACCGCTTAGAGCCTGGCGTGGATTCTTGGGCTCACCGGTGCACGTGAGAGTAGTGACAGACGTGAGTAGGCCGAGAAGCTGTAGGCCGGACACAATGGTGGTGTCTGCAGTGTCAGTGATGGGGACTTCCACCACATCGTCATCGTCACCCTTGTGGCCAGGTGAGGAAGATCTTGGCTCAGGTTGGCGCCTTGATGGTCCTGGCGCGAGAGTGTCGTCGCTGTCGTCATCGTCGTCGTCGTTGCACGGACGAGGCAGTACGCTGGGATGTTCGTCGGCAGGGTCGCGGTCAAGTGCTGCTGCTGCTGCCTCGTCTTCTGGAGATGCAAAGCTGCGGCCACTGTTGGCGTAGGCGCGGGCGACGTTGCGGCATTCGTCCTTGATCCACTGCTGCAAGGTGAGACGTTCGTAGAAGAGGATGTCGCGCGCAGGGACGATCTGCTTGGTGTTGATGTCGAGGATAAGACAACCCTGACACTCGTGACTGAGTCCCAGGTGGACTCCCCAGCGTGCGCGGTGAGTGAATTTGCCAATGGTGGCCGAAGTCGGTCGATACTGCACCACACACCCCCAAACCCTCAGCATGTAGGTATCTCCCCTCGAACCGGTCCATTTCATGTGCGGGGAGAGGTTGCCCCTGTTGGCCGTGGTGGAGAGGAGGTTGTGCAGGCGCACCGCGTGGTTCATGGCATACGGCCAATACTTCTTGGGTAGGCCGTACTGATTCATGAGGGCGCGCAATTTTGTCATGAGAGTGCGATTGACCCTCTCAGCGACGCCTTGCTGCTGATGAGCGTAGGGGAGAGATATCTGATGCTTGATCCCCTTCTCTGCGACAACACTTTCCAGTTCGTGGCTCCGAAAATCCTTGGCGCCGTCAGTCTGCCAAATTTTCAGTTTCTTCCCCGATTGTCGTTGCGCGTGTGCTAGCCAGATGCGAAAGATCTCAGGAGCTTTGGATCAAACGTCGACGTCGGCGATCCAAACGTAGCGTGAGTACACGTCCACGAAGGTGAGTGTGTATCGCTCACCGTTTATGCCGTCGAAGGTGAGCACGATGAAATCGCTGTAGACTTTCTGCAGCTTATTGTAACGGTTGGTGCGTGGCTCCAGGGAGGGGTAAGCTTGGTGCGTGAGAGCTGCAGTGGGGCAGATGGTGCAGGTAGTTGGGTGTGTTGTGCTGAGGGGTTCCGTGCCATCGAGGCGCAGCAGTGCTCCTGGCAGGAAAAAATTAGCGCGGAGGCAGCTGTTGAACATCTGGCGCGAGGGGTGATCGAGTCGCTGGTGCCAGAGATCTTCGTCTGCGCGAATTCCCGAGGTGCGCAGGTATCGTGTGTGATGCTCCGCCGAATCTGCTTCTGTCTCGTGAGGGATCAGG